CTACTTGGAATCTTCCATTCCTCATTAACAGGTGTCGCTGCACCTACCTGGAATCTTTCATTCGTCATTAACAGGTGTCGCTGCACCTACTTGGAATCTTCCATTCCTCATTAACAGGTGTCGCTGCACCTACCTGGAATCTTTCATTCGTCATTAACAGGTGTCGCTGCACCTACTTGGAATCTTCCATTCCTCATTAACAGGTGTCGCTGCACCTACCTGGAATCTTTCATTCGTCATTAACAGGTGTCGCTGCACTTACTTGGAATCCTTTATTCCTCATTAACAGGTGTCGCTGCACCTACCTGGTATATTCCATTCGTCATTAACAGGTGTCGCTGCACCTACCTGGTATCTTTCATTCCTCATTAACAGGTGTACCTGCACTTACCTGGGATCTTCCATTCTTCATTAACAGGTGTCCCTGCAGGAAGATCTAACTTCATCCCCTTGCCTGGATTGTTGTGAAGACGTATAATTGGAACTAAATTGTTATTGGCTAGCTGTATAGCCAAGTGACCCACATGAAGAGATGTTGCCACGGAAACGATAGTCAAGTGCAAGTCTACCATGGCTATTCGCTGACCCGTCTGTGTACTCCATATTTGAAGTGTAGTGTCATCCGATCCTATAATATTTTAAGAAACTATTTAGAAAAATCATCAGACTGAAGTCACTATTATACATAAACGAAAGACAATTGATGTTTGTAAAGTTAGTGAGATCCGCTCTTATTGAGGTATTCGAACAACCATACTAATCCTCATAACAATAAATAATAATAAAGTCCCTTATTTGTTAAGGAAACAATTAATTAATCTACAAGAAAACTCCGGAAATATTTTGACTACACCGTCAAAGGTTTATCGTTTATTAAAAAAGTTGGACACTATGGGGTGTCTCTGGTCTGAAAAACGTAATTAATAGTGAAAATGATTTAAGATGCCCAATCTTTGCTAACGAATTAAACGCCACCTACCGGAGATAACTGCGCTTCCTTCTATGGTAAGCTGCACTGTTTTTACAGCTTCTGTGTGACCTCTCAACGTGAAATTATCGCCACCAGTTGTCATGTCCCACACGATGAGATTGTGGTCCAGCGAACCGGACACGACGAGGGATGGACTGAAGGGCGCTATAGCAACGCACGTGACAGGGCCTTCGTGTCCCACTAGTACCTGGTGTCGAGTATGAAAAATAGACATAGATTGTAAGACACGTCTAAAAAATTATCGGTTTAAAAGTTTCTTGTATATATATTTCAAAATATATTTCCTTAAGCGTCCCTTATGTGACGTAATTTTAGTGTCCATTGACTGACTGACAGACAATAAACTACTGTATGGTTAAAACAGGTGACCCCTCCAGTATGATAACTAAGACGTATATAGTTTGATAATTAAGATGTATGTTAATATGAGCCTTTCCTTAGAAACGGTCGTTTTGTAGATATATATGAATGAGTTTTATGATGTAAAATAATAAACTTTGGATAAATCAAGTGTGTTAAGAGTTAAATTGATAAATGACATAACTACGTAAGCTTAATGAGTTTACTGTCGGGACAAATGATTCACCTGGGCAGAGCTGCTGTTATGACAAATTATTTACCTGGATAGTTTCACGGGTATGACAAATGATTTACCTGGATAGTTTCACGGGTATGACAAATTATTTACCTGGGTAGTTTCACGGATGTGACAAATTATTTACCTGGATAGTTTCACGGGTGTGACAAATGATTTACCCGGTTAGTTTTAATGGTATTACAAATGATTTACCTGGATAGTTTCACGGGTGTGACAAATGATTTACCTGGGTAGTTTCACGGGTGTGACAAATGATTTATCTGGGCAGTTTTAATGGTTATACAAATGATTTATCTGGGCAGTTTTATTAGTATGATAAACGATTTATTTGGTTAGTTTTAATGGGAAATGATATACCTAATAGTTTCACAGGTGTGACTAATTATTTACTTAGGTAGTTTTACAGGTACGACAGATGACCTACATGGGTAGTTTTAACAGTATAACAGATGATTTACCTAGGTAGTTTTACAGGTATGACAATGATTTATCTGGGTAGTTTCAAAGGTGTGACTAATTATTTACCTGGGTAGTTTTAATGGTGTGACTATTTACCTAGGTAGTTTTACAGGTATGACAGATGATTTACCTGGGTAGTTTCACAGGTGTGACTAATTATTTACCTGGGTAGTTTCACAGGTTTGACTAACTATTTACCTGGGTAGTTTTATAGGTACGACAAATTATTTACCAGGGTAGTTTCACGGATACGACAGATGATTTATCTGGGTAGTTTTAATAGTATGACAGATCATTTACCTGGATCGTTTCACGGGTATGACAAATGACTTATCTGGATAGTTTAACTGGTATGATAAATGATTTACCTTGTTAGGTTAACGTTATAACTTACCTGAGTAAGTTTTCCAGTAGCAACCTCCCATACTTTGAGCGACATATCCTGAGAACCAGTTACCACTGTTTTACAGTCGTACGTCACGGTATAGCAGAGAACTGCGTCACTGTGAGTAACAGTTTTTTCAGAGTCGACGTCCAGGAGTGGCCAGAACCGGACACTAAGTAGATCAAATAATATATATAAATTACCAAATTCTGGAACTATACAGAAGTATAAAGTAAATTATTTAGGTTTTGGAACAATGGAACTAGATAGAAGTATAAAGTAAGTTGTTTAGGTAGTGGAAAAATGGAACCAGATAGAAGTATAAAGTAAATTGTTTAGGTAGTTGAACAATGGAACTAGATAGAAGTATAAAGTAAATTATTTAGATAGTGGAACAATGGAACTAGATAGAAGTATAAAGTAAATTATTTAGGTAGTGGAACAATGGAACTAGATAGAAGTATAAAGTAAGTTGTTTAGGTAGTGGAACAATGGAACTAGATAGAAGTATAAAGTAAGTTGTTTAAGTAGTGGAACAATGGAACTAGATAGAAGTATAAAGTAAATTGTTTAGGTAGTGGAACAATGAAACTAGATAGAAGTATAAAGTAAATT